TTCTGGCAGAATCATTCTGAGCGAATCCAGTTTTTTCTTACTTGTTTCTTCCAGCTTGTGAGCAACAGTTTGAGGCGACTACAGCACATTTGGCATTCTCAGGTTGGATACATTCAGCTGAGTAGCATCAGCATATTGATGATGCCTCACCCCAAACCAATAGATGATCTTTTCAAGTGATTTCTTGTCACTATGAAATAAACACAGAGGAGAAAATTGAAACTTGAGGCATCCCACACTGGAGCAACCATTATCTTGATAATGCTAAATATTTCAGATACTTGAGAGCACTATAATATCTGTGTCAACATTCCAACTGATGAACCGAACCAAAGCAAGCACAGCCCAGATGATCCAATCTCTGAATGCAAAACTTTATTGAGTACATCATTTCAGCACTGATGAGGCCAAAACCAGATCTAGCTAATTCCTGCCAAACCCACATAATTAAAGTATAGATTCTCCCTCCCCCTATTAGAGCGCATCACATTGTCCAATTGAGTCTTATTGTATTGTTATGAGAAAAAGTGTTTGGCTTTGGCAAACACCTGCTGACATATCCTTGGCTCCCATGGCTGTCTTTTTGATGTCTGGAGCTTACATTCCATCTCCCTCTTCCCTCACCCCGGGTTCGTTGGCAAGCTGAGAAGCGATAATGGTTGCAACAGCAAAAGCGCAATTCAAAACATGACACTTTGCCCTTCTTTATCATTTCTCAAGACTGAACCTCCCCAATTCCTTCAATCCTGTTTCATACTCTTGCCTTTAATTGTTGATCATTTTTGCCACATTTCCCTGAACCTCTTGGAATTGCTGTTCAGAACTAGACATGGTATTGGAGTATGACCACGGCAAATAAGTAATGTAACAATTAATCCCATTGATTTGAAGATTGTACTTATTTATTTATTTATTTATTTATTTATTTATTTATTTATTTATTTATTTATTTATTTGTCAACAAGTATAAGGAAACAAGTAACAGTATAGATATAGACATGGACACATGAAAAAAAATTGGCACAAATAAAAGGATATAAATAAGCAAAACCTAGCCATAAACACATAAAATGAGTACATATAAATGGGAACAGTAGGACAGGGACGGTAGGCACACTGGTGCGCTTATGCACGCCCCCTTAGGGACCTCTTAAGAAACGTGAAAGGTCCACGGTAGATAGTTTAAGGTAAAAGGTATGGGGGTTAGAGAGACTAACAACAGGATCTGGTAGAGTGTTCCAGACATTTACTACTCTATTGCAGAAGTCATATTTCCTACAATCAAGACTAGAGCAAATTACATTGAGTTTGAATCTATTGATAGACCTTGTGTTATTATGGTTGAAGTTAAAATACTCATTAACAGGTAGGACCAGTGATGGGTTGCACCCGGTTCGCACCGGTTCTATAGAACCAGTAGTAAAATCGGCTGGAGGCTCCGCCCACTGACTCCAATATCATCAGAATGCTTCTGCGCATGCTCAGAACAGCGCACGGCCCCATTGTGAACCGGTAGTAAAGGTAAGTAGAACCCACCCCTGGGTAGGACGTTATGGTAAATAATCTTCTGTACTAAGCTTAGGTCAGAATGTAGGTGGTGTAGTTCAAGGCTATCGGGGCCTAAAATTTCAAGCTTGGTGGTATAGGGAATTTTATTTTGAGCAGAGGATTTGAGTACTCTTCTAGTAAAATACCTCTGGACCCTCTCTATTGTATTGATGTCTGAAATACAGTGAAGGTTCCAGGCAGGTGAGCAGTATTCAAGGATAGGTCTAATTTGAAGTATAGCGTTACCAGAGAGAAAACTTCGTAAAATAAGGTTGACAATTCTTAATGCCTTTTTTGCAATGATGTTACAGTGAGCTCTGGGGCTTAGATCTTTTGAAATGAGTACTCCTAGGTCCTTGAGAGAGTGTGGGCCAACTTTTAGATCATTTCCGGACAGCATATATTTGATGTTCTTATTTCTATTGCTTCTACTTCACTGAGGCACTCTAAAAAATTTTTTTGTATGCATACAGATCACACTTTGTTTATATTCAATTTGAAATCAATATTAATATATTGTTCCAAGAATGTTTTCACAGGTACTATGTTCACCCAAGTTCTCCATATCCTGTATTTCTTCCTATTTGACATTTGTTTCATTCTGTTACTTGCCACCCATTCTGTAGTCTAACAGAGCTACTTTGATTTTTTCCCTTTCTCTTCTACAATACAGCTATCTCACTCAAAACCCCGAAACAGCTACTTTGGTCTAGTGCCGTGATGGCGAACCTATGGCACGTGTGCCCAGAGTGGCATGTGGAGCCATGTCCCCTGGTATGTGCAGCATCGCACATTCCTCTTCCGGGTTTCTGGCACGCATGCGATGATCAGCTGGCCTTCGCACATGAAGTGCTCCCTTTTCCGCACTTGGTGCCGCTCGTGTGCATGCGCACTCCCTTTTTGGCACTCGGTGCCAAAAAGGTTCGCTATCACTGGTCTAGTGACTAAGGCACCAGAGAAGAATCAGAAGAAAGTGAGTTCGAGTCCCATCTTAACCAGCTGGATGACTTTGAGCTAGTCATTCTTTCTTAGCCCAACCCAACCCCCCTCACAGGGTTGTTTTAGGGAAAATAGGAGATGAAGGAATATTTTGTGTGCTAGAAGTTATTGATAAAAATTTTAAAGGCAGGTAAATAAACAAACAAACACATAGATAAATAGATAAATAGATAAATAGATAAATAGATAAATAGATAAATAGATAAATAGATAAATAGATAAATAGATAAATAGATAAATAGATAAATAGATAAATAGATAAATAGATAAATAAAAATGGCTGCCTATCTCAAATAAATGATTCTAGGTGGCTAATAACAAATTAAGGCCCAGAAAAAGAACAATAAAAACATAAAATATATAGACAATCAGCCCTTGAAATAAAAACAACAAAACAATCATCAGTATAAATGCAATACAAATATTTCAGGAAAATTAATTTACAGGCTCCAACAGATGCTCTAATGCCCAACCCAGGAAACAGAGCTTTGTCTTCAGAGTCTTGTGAAAGGCCAACAGGGTCAGGGACAGTCTGATCTCTGAGGGGATGAAGTTTCACCCGGCAACAGAAAAGGCTTTCTTCCTGGTCCAGCCAGGTGCTGCTCTTTAATGGATGGGATCCATAGCATGCCTTTCTTGCTGGATCTGATTTGGGGGGGGGGCAGTAGTTGGTGGTGGAAGACATAATCCCATAGAGCCAACCCCACAAATATCTGAAGTTTCATGCCATTGAGGGCTTTATAGGTAATCAATCACCTAGAAGCAGATTGGCAATGAAAGAAGCCCAAGAAGCAGAAGCATAAAATGGGATTGAGAAGCACCTATAACCCACCCACCCCCCACATAGTGTACCAACTGCAGATCCTGAATGCTTGTCTCAGGGTCAGGGCATCACCATGTTGAGTGTATTGCAATAGTCTATCTGGTATGTGCAATGGCATGTGGGCTGTGGCTCAGACAGACCCTCACCATACATTTTATACAAGTGTGGATGGGAATATTGTCCCATGACAGACCTTAACGTTTGTGCCTCTCCCCATAGTTTTTTAAGACTCCTAAGAATTGGATCAGTGACACAGGAAAAGTAGCAAGAGATACTGAGCCTTATCAGAATGAGGCAGGGGTCACCCAAACTGCATCAGAAAGGTTTATCAAATGTTTTAAGAAAAGGACAGAAGTGCTCTGAGATTTTTCCTACAGTCAACGTAGGAAAAAATAAAACAAAAAACGAGTTGCTATGCCGGATAATGCAGAACTCAAAGTAAAGAATGCAATCTGTTATAGAATAGAATAGAATAGAATAGAATAGAATAGAATAGAATAGAATAGAATAGAATAGAATAGAATAGAAGGGACCTTGGAGGTCTTCTAGTCCAACCCCCTGCTTAGGCAGGAAACCCTACACCACTTCAGACAAATGGTTATCCAACATCTTCTTAAAAACTTCCAGCATTGGAGCATTCATAACTTCTGGAGGCAAGTTGTTCCACTGATAAATTTTTCTAACTATCAGGAAATGTCTCCTTAGTTCTAAGTTGCTTCTCTCCTTGATTAGTTTCCACCCATTGCTTCTTGTCCTGCCCTCAGGTGCTTTGGAGAATAGCTTGATTCCCTCTTCTTTGTGGCAGCCCCTGAGATATTGGAACACTGCCATCATCTCTCCCTAGTCTTTCTCTTCATTAAACTAGACATACCCAGTTCCTGAAACAGTTCTTCATATGTTTTAACCTCCAGTCCCCTAATCATCTTTGTTGCTCTTCTCTGTACTCTTTCTAGAGTCTCAACATCTTTTTTACATCGTGGCAACCAAAACTGAATGCAATATTCCAAGTGTGGCCTTACCAAGGCATTATAAAGTGGTATTAACACTTCACGTGATCTTGATTCTATCCCTCTGTTTATGCAGCCTAGAACTGTGTTGGCTTTTTTTGGCAGCTGCTGCCAATTTAAAAGGTTGCCCACTAGACTCCAAGATCCCTCTCACAGTTACTACCATTGAGCGAGGTACTACATATACTGCACCTGTGCATTTGGTTTCCTTTGCCTAAATGTAGAACCTTACTTTTTTCACCATTGAATTTCATTTTGTTAGATAGCGCCCAATGTTCAAGTCTGTCAAGATTCTTCTGTATCTTAAGCCTATCTGAATTGGGAGGTTTTAAACCAGGATAAATCATTTCTGTCATCCAATGTCTTGTGTACCATCTAATGAGCTTGACAGAGTTATCCAATTTTGGAACTGGATGCAATGGATATCTTCAGACGAATTAAAACAAAAACCATTTCAGAGAACAAGCCAGTCCTACAGCCAACAAGACAACTGGGAGACAGGCTGGACCTACATTAACTGGGAACATAATCAATGACTTCTGGATCCTCCTTAAGGACCCATACCTGGTTTGAAAATATCATCAATGGTCATAAACAGGAACAAAGAAAGGAGCTGGCACATGTTTTAAACAAGGAAATTTATTTCATCTTGTGGCTAATTTAAAAGGTTTATTTCTTGAAATGAATCCTCTTCATCAAATCTCCGATCCTTGAAAATCAGTGCAGACCTGCCTGGGTGGATAATGAATTGATTTGTAATATAAATGATATAAACCAACCCCCTCCCCACCTGCATTTGTGTATGAGTGTATTTAATCTAAAACGTTTAAGGTTGAAAATGAGCTTCTCCATCAAAAGTCTCTACTCCATTTACATTTCTTGCATATGAGTCAATTTGAGACTGACCCAGTCTATAAATCACTGCCAAAGATGGCTGCATTGGTTCTGCGCCTCCTTCCTTCCCCCATGCTCACATTCTTATACTTCCAATAGGCAAAGAGGGATCTTCCTATTATCAACACAACTCCGGTCCTCAGAAAACTTGAATTACCAGGCACTGAAAGCACATTTCTCCACAAAGGTCCTGTGTGCGAGAAAGATACTGCATATAAATAATTATTTTGGTTTCTGTTTGAAAAGGAGGACTGCTTCTCATGCTTCCTATCCATTAAATCTATATATATAAAAGTGAAATCCAGTCACTATCATGAAATCTCCAGAACGGTAAAGCCTACAAACTTGAAATTTGGCATGTATGTTCCTCTTGGCTTCTAGGTGCTCGCTAACAAAGGATTTTTGAAAATGACCAACAGATCATTAGTATTTCATATACAGTATATTAACATACTCTGATGCTCAGGAGTTAGACGTTCCACTCCCCCTCCCCTCCTGAAAAGTTCCAACTGCCACTTGCCTCACATTCCGTTACCTCAGTTCAAACTGGCAGATGTTGCCTCACATTCCGTTACCTCAGTTCAAACTGGCAGACGTTCCATTCCTTCACTCAGGAGCAGTCTGGGGCTCCTTACAGTAATAAATGTCGCTACCTCACCAAAATGTCTATGCCTTCCACCTATGGAACTGCTTCCAAACTCAAGGCGGCAGGAGAGATATTCCCTTATATGTTTCAATCACCGACCACCACTGAGCCAACGGATTGTGAACCGAATTTCTCCTGCATAGTGTCCCAACCCCAACTCACTTCTTACACTGACCTTCTTAGTTCAGACGAATCTGTTCCTTCTAATGTAACAACAGTTAAAGGGCAAAGACTGTCTTTCTGCTGCCCGGAAGTACAACAGATGCTTCCAAATGACGTCTTTTGGAGCCAGAGAGGTGAAGGAGGGAAATTTTATGCCAACATTCAAAGTGCAGGGGCAGGTTTACCATGGGATAGGGAGTATCATGGTGGGGCCTCAGCAGCAGCTTTCATTTCTCCAGATATACTTTGTTGGTGATGATGACAGTGAGAGTCTGTCAAAGCCATGGGGATGCTACAATGGTCGTAAGTGTGAAAAATGGTCATAAGTAGTGAAGCACGGGTATCCAGCTAGTGGATAGTCCAAGATATTTTACGAGAAGAGTCGTCCATTCCTCCAACCGCAATAAAATACCTTATGCCACCAGACTCCAAATTTTGGGCTTAGACAATTTAGAACTACGCCGACTTCAGTCTGACCTAAGCATAGTATATAAAATTATCTGCCACAATGTCTTTCCTGTCAATGACTTATTCAGCTTCAACCACAACAATACACGAGCAAATAATATACAAACTCAAGGTAAACCGTTCCCAACTCAATTGCAGAAAATATGACTTCAGTAACAGAGTGATCAATGCCTGCAATGCACTACCTGACTCTGTAGTTTCTTCCCCAAACCCCCAAAACTTTAACCTTAAACTGTCTACTGTTGACCTCACCCCATTCCTAAGGTGTCTTTAAGGGGTGTGTATAAGTGCACCAGCGTGCCTACTGTCCCTGTCCTAATATTCCTTTTTTACTTACTCTTTTCATGTATTCAAATTATGTTTATACTTTTACCTGTTATCTTATATATGCTTGACAAATAAACTTATGATTATGGATGAAAAAGGAAAGAAGTTAATTCCTCCATTATACTGCTCTTACAATGAGGAAACCCTGGGTCTTAGTTAATAGACAAGATAAAACTTCAGCCAATCTGATGTAGGATAATCACAATAGCTGGTAATATTTGCTATCTGATTAGGTGAAAAAGAGAGACTAGCATTCTCTCTGCCCTCACTGACACCAGTGGGAAACATTTATATGCTTCGAATTTGTGATCTTTGCATGAACAAAGACTTGCAAGTCACTTTTTAAAGTGTAATTTAATTACATTGAAAGAACAGTAAGAAGTAATGCAGCAACGTAGAATCCACTTCTGCGGGAACATTACTTGTCCTTTTCCAGTTTAAATGATGGAAGAATGCAAATGCCGTCAGCAAGGAGAGATCTTGCAGTGAAGAAAGTATCATGCAACCCATCATAAACGATCTAAGACCCTGAATATCATAGCATTTTGAACTGGGATTCAAAAGGCAAATCTGTTGTACAATGTTCAGTTTCCAAATCAGAAAAATCTGGGGGGGGGGGTGTTATTATAGAGTAAAATGTGAAAACAAGAAAAAACAATTTATCACATTTAAACAACTCCCCAAAGTTATTCATTTTCAAAAAAAGGAAATTTGCATGAAGTGCATAACAACAAAATAGTGAGAAGGTGGCTGATATATAAATAATTGGACAAAAGCCTGTGTTCTAACAGATCTAACAGTTTAACAAAGTTGTAGATGGAGCAATGATTGATAATCAGCATAGGCTGATTAAAAAGTCTGATAGTGCAATTGTTTCACACTAGTATAGTTCACAGAAGACCAGCAGCTACTCAGCATTTTTGCTGCCACGTTCTCCATTACTGGAGTTCTCAACCAAGCACATTACCAGGGGGTGGACTCCTACAACTACACCAGAGGTCAGCAACCTTAAACACTCAAAGAGTCACAAAGGTCCTAACAGGAAGCCCCCGTTCAATACTGGAGCCGACCGGGACTCCAGTTATAGTCTCCTCCTAGCATGGCATCCTTTTTCCTCTGCTGACCGGAAGTCTGGTTCCCCCACCATAGAGTCTCCTTCTAGCGCTGCATCCTTTTTCCTCTACCTGTCCTAACCGAAAGCCCTATCAATTGTGGAGCTGACCAACAACAGGGAGCCACAGCAGAGGGATGAAAGAGCCACATGTGGCTCCAGAGCCACAGGTTGCTGACTCCTGAACTACACCATACTTGTGTAGTATGTACACATATATAAGGCTCTCCTTGAAACACAGGCATTGTAAAGGTTGAGAAGAAAGATGGGTCTTTGAGATTATGCATGGATTTTCAGGGGATCAATGGTGTCTGTGTGGATAACATGTACTCCCACCCCCCTCATGAAGGGCATGCTGGGATACCTGGCCAAAGGGAAGGTGTTCACCAAGCTGGACTTGAGCGAAGCATATTACTGAGTAAGAATAAAAGAAGGTGATGAGTGGAAAACCACTTTCAATTGTCCCTTAGGGTGTTTCCAATTCCAAGTAATGTCTTTCGGGCTGCAGGGAGCACCCACAATGTTCTTGCAACTGATCAACAAAGTGCTACATGAGCACCTGTATAAGGGGTGTTGGTGTACCTGACCGATACCCTCACTTATTCTGAGACAATGGAAGACCACATGAAATTAGTGCGGGAGGTGCTAAGAAAATTATTGAAAGCTAAACTCTACGTTAAACTATCCAAGTGCAATTTCCATAAAACCAGTTTAGATTACTTGGGCTACTGCATGTCCAGTGATGGGGTGGAGATGGACCTCAGAAAGGAAAAGTCCATTCTGGAATGGGAAGCGCCTCACACCAGAAAGCAACTGCAGAGCTTCCTGGGCTTCGCCAACTTCTACCACCAATTCATCCCCTTGTTCACACAGATAGCCTTGCCTATCACCGAACTATTAAAAATGGGAGGAGAGGGAGTGAAGCCTAAACCAAGCCAGCTGCTCACTTGTACTATGGAATGCCAAGCGGCTTTCAAAAAGCTTAAAAGGCTTTTTGCAGTGGAGTCAACTCTTAAGTACCCAAACATGGAGGAGCCATTTGTATTACAAGCCGATGCCAGCAATGTGGTGGTGGTGGGTGTTTTGCTCCCAGAAAATGTGAAGGGGACTCTGCAACCCTGCACCTACACTTCCTGGATGCTGTTCAATACCGAAAGGAGTTGGGCATACACCATTCTATGGGTGCTGCTGAATTGGAAGCACTACCTAGAAGGCAGTAAGATTCCGTTCAAAGTGTGGATTGAAAACAAGAACCTAAAAGCCTTAAGAACTCCAAGGAAGCTGTCCCCTAAGCAAGTGAGATGGGTGCAGTACTTTAACTGGTTGAACTTTACCCTCCGATATTTGCTTGTGGGGGGGGGGAGAGAGAATTTCCTCGCCAATGCACTCTCTTGGCTGCCGCAATACAAAAGCACCTGAGAGGAAATAGTTAACTCCATCAATCCCTCTAGGCAACTGGCAATGCAATGCAGGTATCAGCAAGGTGGAGGTGGCTAGTCACTCCTCAGCCCACCAATGCCATGCTGATCCAACAGCTAAAAGAAGCCTTGAAGGAAGATGAATGGATCAGAGACCACAAAGCTGACCTGATGATGAGGGGGGACCTGACATGGAAGGGAGACAAGCTGTATATTCCAGCCAGCCAGTGGACCCAAATCCTACAAAGGAGCCATGACATAACACATTGGATTTGAAAAAATCCTTCACCTGGCCAAAAGACAATTCTGATGGCCCAATATGAGGAAGGATATAGAGAACTCATGCCTCAATCATATCCTATATCAATTAGTAAATGTGTTTTACATGGGGACTGCCTTTGAAGACTATTCAAGATCTGCAACTGGTCCAAAATGCAGTGGGCAATTATGGCGCACTTGGTATAACCATGTATTACACCACTTTGTGAGTTGTATGGGCTCCCAGTACAATTCCAGGAGCAATTTAAAATAGTTGTCACCTAAACAATCCTATATGGCATGGAGCTTGGTTATTTGTGGGACCACCTCCTCCTCCTCCCCCTCCTCCTCCTCCTCCTCCTCCTCCTCCTCCTCCTCCTCCTCCTCCTCCTCCTCCTCCTTCTTCTTCTTCTTCTTCTTCTTCTTCTTCTTCTTCTTCTTCTTCTTCTGTCGTATCTGTCATCGGACGTTGACGATCATGTTGGCAATCCTATTTTTGTCAACAGCCGCATGAAAAAGTGCTGCTGAGTTTTGTCCAAACTGGTCCCTTAGATTTGGAAGCCATGATGTTCTTCTTCTGCCTGGACCTCGTTTGCCTTCAATCTTTCCCTGGAGGATTAAGTGAAGGATGCTGTATTTTTCTGGGTGTCGTATCACATGTCCAAAATACTCTAACTTTCGCTTTTTAATGGCTTTGATTATTTTCCTTTGCTTTCCCAGGCGGCTTATCACCTCCTCATTTGTGATTTTGTTAACCCAGCTTACATGTAAATATGTATTTGTGGGACCACCTCTCTGCAATTGTTTCTACCCATCTCACAAAGGCCTGCCAGATCATGTCAATTAAAAACAGTTACTTGTGGGACCCAGAAAACAGGTCTTTTCTGTTTCAGCACCTGCTTTTTTTTAACATAATATTTTTTGTCCTTGTCATCAAAAGGGGGAAAAGGAAGATCCATCATACTATAGAGCAGTTCATCTATTCTAGAGCAATTCATAGAAACTGATCTGTAAGCATTTGATGATAATGTACTAATTATTAGAGGTTAGCATGGATCTGTCAAGAACTAATCTTGCCCACTAATCTTATCTTTTTCTTTTATTTTTTTGGAATGGCTGGCTTTCTC